GCCTCCACTCAGACTTAAACACATATTGTCAGGAGTGAAGCTGCAGGTGGAGCACTAACTCGATTTCCTTTCAGCTTTAAGGTCAAAAAAATCAACCGAGTCAAAGTCAGCTTGCCACAGACAGGAAGTGTCACTCCGATCCACAGGCGTGGTCCCAAAGTGACCTCCAGTTATGAGTGACAGCTTGCAGTTTGTGCGCGCCTGTTTGTGTGTCTCTTTGTGTCTGTGTATGCGTGTTTCATATGGAGCAATAAAATCAAACAAACGCTGACGTCTGGTTTTGTGTCGCCCTGATGTTGGAACATCCTCTGAGTTCGGGTTTTTTAAAGCTGCTGACATCGTTTTGGAGTAAACTGTTGATTTCACGACTTGTTTTGGAGTTTGCTTCAAACAGCTGACAGTAAAGTTTTACTGTGTGCGCAGTTCCATCTGTGCTCGTTTTACTGGATCTTATTTAAAGCGCACACCTGGATCAGAAATGCCGTCCCTTCCAGGTTTGTGGTCTCAGCATTCTGTCTCAATTGCTGCTCTGGATCGTTTAGCCAGAGAGCTTCATGGAGCAGCTTTCAGACGTCAGGATGCGAGAAACGGCGAGTCTGCAGACTCGCACATGAACAGGAGGTGTTTATATTCCTGCAGACCACGAGGTCGCGCAGTTTGCTGGTGACTTTTCCAGCTTCCATACAACAGCTCAGCCTCTGTTCTGGAGTTACACAAACAACAGGAACTCCTCTTTACACTGATGACAACATCAGGCTCCATTTAAACTCTGCACACACCTGATATGACAAAAAATACATCCAAGCTCTGAAAGCCGCAGGTGGTATAATTATAATCCATATATCAATACATTTTTTGTCTCCTTTAGCTCAATGTGAGAGTCTTTCCTGTAATCATTCACTCTCGTGTTATTTTCTCCTGTTAATTATTAAAAGCTTCCAAACAAGTCTGACCCTGGACGAGTGCAGAAGCGAGACATGTGAGTTTTCCATCCTGAGCGTAGTTTGTGTTTAAATGAGAAACTCCTTTGATGTGCGAGCCCATCCTGCTCCCTGTGAGGGAACGAAAATGCAGACGCCAATCCGTCCAATTGGTGCAACCCTATTTTCTGAAGCATTTAAACATCATGGGAAAATCCTTGAGTTGTCGTCAGGAGTCAGCTATAGTTTACGATAATTCGACTGAAGTCATTTCTACAGAGCATTAGATCTGCGTGTCCACAAATAAATCAGAGTACGGGAAACAACAATGTCTGCATTTGTGATTCGGTCTGTGCTGCTCACAATCAGCCAAAACATGAAAACCACCTCTGTAACATCGTCAGAGCCCCAGACACAGAACGTCAGAAGTCCAGTCTCTTTTAAACCTTTGAATAAATGCCACAGTTTCCTTACCGGGTTGATTGGTGTTGTGGGCGGCAACGATGCGTCAGGTGGGCGGCCTCTGGCCACCACCAGCTCCACCGTCTCTCCAGGCTGCTGCAGGAGGGAGAGCGCCTGCTGCTGGCTGATGCCCGGCTCCAGAGGACTGCCGTTTATCACTAGGATCTGGTCCCGCTCCTGCAGACGCCCATCCCTGCAGACACAGCACCACATCCGTTGGAGCGGTGCATACTTACTTTAAAGGCAAACTTCACTGCCTTTGCCTTTAAAGTCTGCACCCAATCACTTCTAAGTACCAAAACATGTCAGCCACACATGATGGTCGCATGACATCATCTGAGCAATGCTGGCAGGCTCATGTTGGACAGCCAGACGCTGTGTCAGGTAACACCAGCTGATTCAGCCACACATCACACACATGTAAATTTAATGTTTCAAACATTTTTTCCATTAATTTTCGTCATGTTTGTCGTACACAGGCCGACTCCGATCACACAAAACCAGATGAAAGCTCCCCTTGCTGTATGATGGGAATAACAGGAAGTGGAATGGCACATAGCAGTTCTGCTCCAATATTTTCAAAATAAAAGTTTAACATGACGCTTTATTGCTGCATTAATGGGTGTAGCGTGGTGTGGTGACCTGCTGCTCACTGATAGGAACAAACTAAACACGCGTCACTGAACCTGTGAGCGATTCCTCCGGGCTGGACGTGTTTGATGAAGACGCCGCGGCTACTGCTTCCTGTTGGATTCAGACCGACCACACTGAAGCCCAGACCGCCAGTCAGAGGACGAGTCAATCTGACCACGTCAGTGGGACGTCCCTGCACGCAAGTGTGTGCGTGCACACACACACACACACACACACACACACACACAACCAGAGACACAGACACACAATCAGTTGAGCGGTTTGATATCATGTTGAGTTCATTTGTGAGATTGTGTGTGAGCGTCTTGGCTCCACCCACCTTGGCAGCATCAAGAATCCACTTCTGGAGGTCAGGTGTGGGCGGAGTCTGACGTTTGGGCGGAAACGAGCCATTGGTGAGGATGGAGGAGGTCGCGGATAGCGTGGGTGGGGCCGGGCCACCGACTGGATCGACGCTCATGATCAGTTGACCTTTTTTGGAGAAACTGAAATCGCTGCTGGTGTTTGGAGGCATGGCGCTTAGCTACAGGGAGAGGAGAGGTTAATCAATACATCAGATCTTCCAATCATAGCTGAGTGCTGATAGAGAAGTGAGAGACTTTTCTGTCCTGTCAAAGACGTCGCACGTCCTGCGAGTCCACAGAGACTGAAGGCAGAGGTTACTGCACAGTGATCATTCTAGATTATATCACCTGATTATTTTCACTATCAGAGTAAAAATTGAATCTCTAACAGGGCCGCCACATTTCCAAAGCTCAAACCACAGAAAATAAAATCAAATTTCATCAGAGCTACAAGACAGGTCGCCATCGTCACATCTGAGGCGAGAACATCCTCACATATTTGTAGAGTCAGACTTGCTGAAATGTACATATATGAGGTTTGGTACACGCGTGTAGCATCCCAAGAAATACACAAACATTCTTTTGAAGCCCCAACCTAAACCTGTCACCCTAAACCCCTCAAGAGGTGCAGAATTTAAGACGCAACTTTGGTGCATTTTTTCCCATTTTTAGATCCATACGATGACATAAGCGCGTTTGATCCAAAGACCTGACGGATGCTAAACTGCAAAGATGGTGAAGAAGTTGTTAAAACTCAAACGTTTCTAGTGGATCTGCTCCAGATGTCACAGGTTTGAGTCCAGACCTGGAGACATCCCAGAGCGGGCGCCCTGATTGTCACTGCTAACGGCTTTACTTGTCTTCATCAGCAACGGCACGCTGGTCTCACTGTACGTGAGGACTGGATGCTGTCACAAATAACTAACTACTGGTTTTTGTTTCGATCAATAGTCTGAGAAGCCAGTCAGTTCTACTGACAATAAAAACCAGGTTTTTTCTTTTGGCCTCTAATACTTTTTTTTTTAAGCAGAGATTAGAAATAAATAAATAAAAACTTGTATTCATCAAACTTAAACAGGCTTCTGTTAATGCAGTGAGCCTGCACAAGTGCAGGAAAACCCTGAACAGCTTCAATCTGTGGCCCAATTAATACATCCGTTCTCCAAACGAGCCAATCAGCTAATGTCAGACTGACGCATGTCAAGTCTGAACCAAACACCTGCTGCTTTCCTGTTTGTCTCAGGTGTGAACAGAAGTGACATCAGGGATCGTGCTGGACACAGATGTCCAGCGTTTAGACTCAAACACATGAATGTGAACCAGGCTCCGCTGACTGACTGTGTGTGCGGGAATAAAGAAACCGTCCACATACTTTTGAACTTTGGCCACAAACTTCACTGTGATGAAGAGGCAGACTGGGAGAGAGATGGGAGGCGCCCTTATGTGCAAGGACGCAGAAAAAAAAAGAAAAAAAGAAAAAGACGCGGCGAGGCCGGGGGTAAGTGGGGAGGAGAGAGGAAAAAACTAAAATCAATAGATTCCTCTGCAGGCGCTCTCTCTGAACAGGTAATGTATTAATGACCTTTACACTCACATTGTGGAAACTTATCAGTCTGCGGCTTATTTAGACCGGGCTGACGGAGCAGGATCCCGAGCCATTTCATCAATACCACCTCGACAAGGCCGTTACTCAAACCGAGACACCAGATATTAAAGCCTGATAGATCTGCAGCACGCTGGGGAGGGAGGGCCAGAAATAAAGGGAGAAGTCCCCGCTTCATATACCCTCCGCCGGCTTCCATCGGTGCATTCATAGACTCGCTCTGACCTTCGCAGCACTTAGAATATGAAGCCCGCCGCGGGTTATTGCCATTATCTTAATTTGGCCTGCAGATTGTTTATTGTAAAGCTCACGTCAGCGCAGGCACGAGCTGAATACAGATGGCGATGCAGAGAGGATTCGACGGCCCGGGTCACAGCGGTGGGCGGGAGGCAGCACAGGACTGATACCCATAGGCTGTCAACACCTGGGCGGGGCTACACTTGTCAGATCTGATGGGAAACACTCACACAGATAGATGGAGAACATGTGATGAGAAACACCCACTGAAGTAAACCTAACTGAAAGCTTTTTGTTCCATTTCTGACGTTTTACTTGAACTCAGGTTCTTTTCTGGTTTAATCAGGACCGTTCATGTGTTTCTGGACATCTTCTGCTCATCTCCAGCTCTATAGCAGCTCTCAGGACCGATTTATCTCGCAGTGCATCATCTGCCTGACATACCTGACTGAAAAATTCGGGGAGTCTGCTCACTCATTAAGAGGTGACTTTTCAATCACAGTATAGCCCCGCCCTTGTCTACTTCCTGCACCAGCTGTGACTCTGACAGCACAAAAATCTCCAAAATGACCTCATGTTTGATTCAGTCAGCCCTGAAATTCATCATGGACTCATTCTTATATACGTAGTCCTTTTTTTGTACAACCTGAGAAGTTGCCCCCTGCTGGACATGAGAATGTGCATGTGGCGGCGGTGTGGTCCCTGGCTCAGCTGCAGGGGAGGCGCAGCGAGCTCAAGTGGGTGGTGCCTGGGGAGGCCACAGGTGGTGGCGACTGGACTAATCACAGTCTCTTCTTTTTATAGTGAGAGGCCAGTGCATGCGTGCCGAGACCAACTCTGAGCAGAGACTGTGTAGCTGTACATGTGAAACTTGGTAATAAAAGCTGAACTGTGAGCACAAACATTGTGTGTATTTTGGGTCTGTCTTACAGTCTCCTTTTCAGACTGAAACCAGTCAAAACATACATTTAAAAAATAGGCTATGATTTAAAAAATAAAATGGCGATCACAGTAGATGATAGTTAGTCATAAAAAAAAAAACAGTACAAATGAAAAACCTGTATGTTCGTCTTTGCAGCCCTGTGTCAGGCTCAGTGGAGTAAAGGCATGAAGTAGGGCTGCACGATTTTGCATAAAATGAGAATCACGATTTTTTGGCTTAGAATTGAGATCACGATTCTCTCACGATTTTCTTTTCCAATATAAATATTTATTGCACATATTAACTGCACATCAACTTCGTAACAATTGAAACTGAACATAAAAACAACAAAGGTCTCACGTTTTGTTGTTGCCGCAAAATGTTGTACTGCTTGAAATTCCGTCTCCACCGTTGCTCGACACTGCGTGTATAGAGCAGGTAGTGCAACAATAGAAAAATAGTTGCGGGACAGCACTGTATAGCATTTGTCTAGGGTGTTGATAATTTTCCTAAATCCCTCGTTTTGCACAGTGTTGATGGGAGCCATATCTTTGGTCAGGTGATAAGTAATAGCCTCCGTAATTTCTTTGTGCCTGCGGGAGTTCGACGTGTATAGGGAAGCGCTGTATAAGGTTCCCGTTATTGATGTTTGGGTGGTTGACCGGGACGGATTTTCTCCTGTCACTTTCTCGTCATCCCTGACGTGCTCTCCGTTGTTTTTTCCCTGCTAACTTTAGCATCACACGGCACAGCTTCTGTATCACATGGTATAAGGCTCCGCCCTTGTCATTTGTTGAGCAGGAAGAGTGAACGCTTGTTTTCATGCAGATTACGTCCCGGATCAAAATGCGGTACAATCGTCGTCGTCTTTTTTTTTTTTTCTTTTTTAAGTCGTCATTTGGAAATGGAGATCGCACATAAGTATGAATCGAGATCGCGATTTTCTAACGATTAATCGTGCAGCCCTAGCATGAAGACAAACAACAAACAAAGTGTGTCGCTGCAGCTAGCTCCCTGTTGCTAGCTAACCTCTTTTTTCTTCTTGTTACGAGGTTGTTTCTTTCATACAGTGCACAGCTTCCATATCACGAGAAAGGAGGTGAGGGAAACATGGTTGTGGATAAAAACAATAAAATTCTTGTGAATGAAATATTCCATAAACTAGCTGTTAATATAAAACGTCATCATTTAAGGCTCTTTTGTTTTGTGTGAACTCCTTCACCTGAGCTATGGCTCCTGCAGTCCAGGTGAAGTACCGGTAAGCCTTAAACATCTGTGCCAGGATCAGAGTGATCCTATCCACTCTATTTTGCATGACGGAGCATGCTCATTGAGGCTCACCTGGCTGCGGAGCTGCTTGATCGAGTGTTGAAGGGTCAGGATGTGGTTAAAGAGCGGGCTCTGCAGCGTCTCCCGCAGGTTTCCCAGGGTTTCGCTGTGGGTCCACTCCTCCCGCTGCACCAGTTTGGCCTGCAGACGCTCCAGAGCTGCCAGCACCTGCTGACGCTCCGTCGAGGACACTGAGGACAAAAACAGCTTGTGAAGCGTGGTCTCGGATAAACACGAATCATTGGATGGTTTCTCTTGAGTTATAGTCAGGACTTACCTGTCGGGACATTTTCAAACATCTCTGCTGTGCTCTCTCCGTCCTCTGTTCTGGAGGACCTAACCTAAACCAGGAAGAACCGAGAACAACTTTATTTCCTTCAGCTCTGGACCAAGTCTGATAAACGCCTACTAAAATACGAGCAAGTGTGGAGATACTTGTGCTCTGACACTTCACAGCACGACTCATACTGACCGCTCTTTCTGTCATCAACAACACTGCATGAAGTCACAGGAAAACATGCATGTCAGCACCTGTGCACTGTCTGTCTCAGGTGAGCCACACTCACCTTTTCTCCCACCAAAATTGGCCAAAATATGACCCAACACAGAACACCAAAAACATAATATCAGAAACACCATCAAACACCTTGCTCATTTCTTTCTGCTTATCCAAATCAGGGTCACAGGGGGTGGAGCCTATCCCAGCTGCCATAGGGCAACATGCAGGTACAGCTGGCCAGACTGTCCAGGGCAAACACAGAGAGACAACCAACTGGTATTAATGAGCCTAACCTAACCTTAACTAACCGTAACTAACCCCATCAACCTCAAAAAGACAAAAACCAAAGTGATGCTGAAAATCCCTGAAAACGATAAAGTAAAGATGGTAAAGATAACAAACTACGAACTCCAAACACAAAAGGCAAATACCACAAACAGCAAATACTACAAACTGAAGTACCACAAAAACCAGCCCTGCGTGAAGAAAATACTACACAGAGCATATTTATGAAACAGGCCTGTAAACACTGAAATTTGACACCAAACAGGAAAAAACAAGATGAAAACTATGACAGGGAACCGGAAACCGAGAACGTACCATCAACACCAAAACCGTCACGAGCACCGGAGAATCGTGTGACACAGCACCACACCCTGAACCTACCACCGACACCCCAGCAGGTGCCCGCAATCACGTGACCGCAACTTTAACACAGTCCCTTTGAGTCACCATGGTAACGGTAGCCCTGACCTGACGGTGTTTACTGGTTTCCATTTCGCAAAGTGACGTTTCTGACCTTACCTGCGCGTTCTCGCCCTGCCGTGCACTGTGCCCTCCGAGCCACCGTACTTTTCACCATTCTACTTTCTAAAAACTTGTACCTAATACCTAAGGAGTTACTTCACACCTTCTTTCACTGTGGTACTGAAAGCACTCAGGTACTTCCCACCTGTGGCTAACACGGCCGTCCTCGGAGTGTCCAGGTGTGGCAGGTGAGCCTCGATATCAGCACGGAATATTTTCTCAGTCAGAGCCGAGCCGAGCTATTGTCTAGCTCTCTCTCTCTCACACTCACACACGGTCCACACACCCCCAACACCGAAACCAAACAGGATGACGCAGAGGGGGTCTGAGGCACTCACCTGTCAGCTCACCTGAGAAATCAGGAAGTGAAACTGAGCAGCGGAGTCGGAGGGGGAGGGGGAGGGGGCGGACAGACGGTATTTTCACCTGTACATATTTTAACCTGCATGTTTGGCCCTTGGTTCACCTCATAGCGTCACAGAGCGCGCGAGCAGGTGCGTCAAAGTTTACAACAGGTGAAAGCCGCACTTTAACCGCCTCTCTCTCTCACTCACACACACACGCACACACAGGTACAAAGTCTGAGTTCAGATCATGAGAATAAAGTAAAGAGTTAAAGGAGCTTCTTTCTCCTCTTCTTTCTCCTCACCGAGAACTCCGCTCCGCTAGCCTTAGCCGCTAACTGCGGCAGAAACTGCGCTTCCGGTCCGCACTCTAACAGAGAAACAGTCCGCACAAGAAGCGACACTTTCCCCAGAAAAAGACGTAGATTCTCAGAGTTTCAAACTGGTAAGAAACTCACATAAACTGGATCCAGTCTGCCACCAGCGTCACTTTAATGCCGCATTCATGGCGGTAGGAAATCTGATGTCTAAGGATGCAAAAGCATAATGTAAGGATCATTTTGTTTTCTTATCATTAGTTTAACTGTTTTTAATTCCGTATTCTGTTTAAAAGCACATTCATTATTTTAGCACAATAAGGAAGATAAATTATTTCTACATCTGAGATAAAATATCCATACTAAAACGAGAAAATAACACACATGAAGCAGGTTGAAACTGTTTTACCTGCCAGCATTTTAAGCTTATTTAAAGAGCTGATTTTATAACAAGAACAAAGGTTATATATGTCTTATGGTTAAAAATGATTAGATTTGAAAACGATACAAATAAAACCAAAATAATAAATATAAATGGTTTGCCGAGCCTTCCTGGTCCTACATCGCTCTGAGTTCCCAGCATGCTGCAAGTCCATGAAGGTACCGCCCTGTCACGTGATTGAGGGAATCATGGCGTCCTCCCGGAGGCGGCTGCTGTATGTTCGCTCCGGGGCGCTCAGCCTCTTATTTTACTGCGTTTATTCGCACCTGCAGCTGGTCCTGAGCGAGGAGGCGGAGAACTGCCAGAACCTGAGACTCGGACAATATCCTTCCGTCCGTGTTTACCGCGCTTTAACGCCTCATTACCGGGGTCACGGGACGGCTAACGTTAGCCTAGCTTCTCTGTGACATTCAGATCAAAACGTTACATTTGGACGTTTTTTGGGGGTCCGTGGCTTAATGCGGGTTTCTCCTCTCATAGAATAGCACTGTGTGTTTGCATGTTTGGGACCTGAAGGGTTTTTCAGTCTGATCGATATTTTCAGTGTGGTCAGATTAAAGTTTCAAAGGAAGACAAGCTTCCCGTTGTCTTTGCAGTTACGAACGGATATTTAACTTCAGTCTGAAGACCGAACAGTTCACTTGTGTCAGGAGAGCTCAGAGACCCGAATCAGGAGAATAAGTTTGTTTCATAACAAACAGAATGTTTACTCAGTGCAGCACTCTGCTGTTTTCATCAGTCAGTCTACCTAATGATACGATATTACTGTGATTTTTAACCTTCGTGTCCTTCATCAGTGTCTGTTTTACCCAGTAAGATAAAGTTCAGTTATTGTCAACCAAGCCAAGACTGTCACTAAAACCTGCCGTAAATGTTGCCATAACATGAAGTTAGTCTGCAACTGAATGCAGTCCGTCTCTGATAATTCACCAACGTTTATTACAAGTATGATTTGTGACAATTTGAAAATCATGCATCTGTTGCTGTCTCCATAGACAGAAATTCACATTTAATTATCACATCTGCACTCAGCAGCCTTCCTGTGCTAGAGGATTATAACCAGGGTACAGCCCAGAGTCGATCTGTGCTCCGTGATAACTGATGGGAACATGATGGCAATCAATCTGCATTTATAAAGCAGTTATTTGCAAACCTTCAGCAGTCTCGGCGAGTGGCCGCAGTAAGACAGTGTTTGCAGAAATGTTGCTTTCCGTCAGATGACCTGTGATCATTGTGAGTGAACCACCTACGAACTGTGGGCACCTGCACAGTCAGCACAGGGTGAGAGAAAACAGCTGTACAGTCGGCAAGAGGTTGCTGATTTAATTGTACATGTGAGGAAGCTAATGTTATCTCAGGATGGTGTGCATGAGATTGTTTGTAGGATTCCAGAGTATTTTCATTTATTTAATGAAGTATCGATATTTGGGGTCCTTGTATCCATACAGTATCTTGACACGATGCTGTATCGACTTCTTTTCCCCGCCCCTAAACCACGGCCTACGCCATGTCACGTAGAAACAGGCTGCAGATGTTTTCCGACTGAAGTGTGTTTGCCTTCCTTTACTCTGCTCACGTATAAATGCAACGATCCAAAGATCGATGAATCCACTCAGGAGCCAGAGAACTGCAGGGACATGACGGCGTGGGGTGAGTCTCACTTCAGATTAGATTTTTTTCTGTTTGTGGGCGGTGGCTTAAAAAACAGACAGACTCTAAAACTGAAGATGTTGCAGAGCTCCTCTTCTGCAGGCTTCCACAGGTCAGCCAATCAAGAGAAACTGTACTTTATTTTGGGGGCGGGGTATGAAGTGAGCAGAGTTTTTCAGACAGGATGAACTGAGGGGTTGCACTGAAGCTGGGATCAGGCAAAGAAGGATTATTATGAATCGTGAATCATGCGGAGCTGCTCAATGGCACGATCATAACTGCATCTAAACAAGTGTGTGTGTGTGTGTGTGTGTGCGCTCGCGTGTGCACGCAGTGGAATGCCTCCCAGCTCCAAACATCAGCTGTCGGCTCTCCAACGGGACGGTGTTCAGGTTTAGCGGGGACGAGGTCGGCTTCAACAAATCCATCCCCTGCAGAAATGTGTGAGTATTCACAGTGCAAGCACAAACACACACACACTCCTCTATAGATTTTGGTGTGTGTGTGTGTGTGTGTGTGTGAGCTTCAGGTGGTTTGATGCTCTCTGTGTTTCCTGTCAGGAGTGGTTATTCCTACAAAGTGGCCGTGGCATTGTCTCTGTTTCTGGGCTGGCTCGGAGCAGATCGCTTCTACCTGGGATATCCTGCTCTGGGTACTCTCTCACACACAAACACACACACACACACCAACACACAGACACCTGCAGCTTTTATTTTGATGCCTGTAGTTTGGGTAGCCAGCTCTCTCACTTCATCTAGTTTTAGTAAAGCAGGTGTGTGTGGTGGGTGGGGGTGCAGTCAGGTGACACCTGTCGCTAAGCAGGTGTACTGTCAGGCGTCAGTATTTGGACAGTGATTCCTCAGGTTCAGCCTTTCAGGTTTAATTTAAAGAATTGAATAAAAGGAAAAACCACCTTAGAGTCACGCTTTAGATTTACAGCTTTCTCATGTCTGCAGGTATTTATTAAAGTGAATACTATGTACTAGGGCTGGGCCATATCATACAGTTCACGGTAATACCGGTATAATGTTGGGCAACGATAAGAAAATGAAATATCGTGGTAGAATATGGGTAAAACGCGCATGCGTAGTGCCTTTGTTTTCATATGCACATGGTGGAAAAAGCTTGGCGGCAACGGAGAATGAGAAGGGGGAAAGCGGATCGTTGAATGAAATGGATGAACCAGAATTGGTTTGTAAAAATGCTGCAGCTTCAGTGGTGTGGAACTGGTTTAGCTTTCATCCGTCACATACACAACAAAGCACTACTTTTGGTAGAGCATGCTAGCGGGCCGTTGTTATTACCATGTTTTTTTGGAAAATACGGCACACTTAAAATCAATCCTTTGATTTTTCTGAAAATCGACAGTGCCCCTTATAATCCCGTGTGCCTTATGTATGAATTCTGGTTGTGTTTACTGACCTCGAAACGATTTTATGTACACGGCGCTCGAAAATCTGTCAAATGTTTCAGTACGACTTTACTAAGCTATGAAGCCGCACCGCTTGATGGATTGTCGGAGCATTACGACTATCGTAGGCAGGAGCCTCGCGGAGTGATACGTACGGTGCTTCAACATAATATTACCGTATTGTGTGTGTAAAACCTCTTTTGACGTTTTGTGGATATTATACATGGTTATACTGAGGATATGTCGGCCAATTTCCACTGGAAATGCTTTTTGGTTAAACTGTCAGCAAGGAATTTGCATTTGCACTGTAAAATTTTTCTATAACTTTAATGCACATAAAAAAACAGCTGCTTGTTTAAGCGAAAATACATTGATGGGTTGTTTTTTTTTTTGCACTAATAAAGTTGTGGAGTTGTAAAGTATTTTGTCTGGTGTCAATTATATCGTCAGTTATATCGTTATCACAAAATTTCAAATGTATATTGTGATAAATATTTTTGGTCATATTGCCCTGCTCTACTATGTACTGTAACATTCAGACAATGATCTCAGACACTGACTCAGCGCAGGAAGACCAGATACAAGAGGAGGAGGAGTTGAGAAGTTTGAGAAAGCACACGCAGACATGTTTTCATTGCGTTTCATCTGAGCGAAACCAACAGCAGAGCAGGAGGCTGCAGGCTGATGAGTCTGGGATCCTTCATGTAAATAATGCATCCTCACTCCTTTGCACTCTGACGACTTTCTGCTGTAAAATTAGCAGCAGAGTCCCTGTGCCCCCACAGGACACTTCAGCACACAGGCTT